AAGAACTTCAATGTGACCTATATTCTATGTCTTCTTAGAGCCTGGGAAGCACCCTTGAATCTAATTTTAAAAGCTACCATGTAAAACCAATTAGGGTAGGATGCACTAAGTGAATCACTTTTGAAGGCCTCTCCTGTAACAAGCTACAGAGATGAATTGGCTTTACAGCTTTATTACCTCTTGAAAGGGAAAGTTTGAAAAATATGTGGAAACCATGAGTTATCTTTTTCCAATGAAGGTGTAACTTGAAATTTTAGTTTTATTATCTATTTTACTACATATATTTTTATATTTTTAGATTGTATTCTCATCACACATCCTGTTACACCTGCATTATTAAAACTCCACTAACAGACTAGGTGCCAATTTAACTGCTTTATTATCTGATCTTGCTCAAAGAAAACACAATTATTTGAACAATCTTATAGATTAACATCAGCACTATAATAAAGGGAACTGTAATACAGCAATGGAATCATGGGAAGCTGTCAAGAAAGAGGTGATCAAGTACTTTGTATTAAATTTGGTATATTTTATTTGAGAAAAATCTGTGGCTTTGTTGAATTTACCACCATCACATACACAACCTCTGCTGCCCTTTGAATTAATCCTGTGGGACGAATTTAGTTTTTAGTGTAAAAGCTATTAAATGAAGTGTGCATAATGATTTTCTTACATTTTAAATTGCTCTTTTAATTAATAATTTCCTCAGCATACTTTACTGTCTACTGAAGTGACATTATTGAGTACCTCAAATGCTTCTCACAGTACAGCAAAAAAAAAAAAGGAAAAAAATAGATATCAGAAACACCCCACTGTCGGCAGTAGAGGGAAAAAAATGTCACTGGCTGTAGCAGGACTGGGGAGAAGTTAAGAGCCTTCGGTGCTTAAAAAAATACATTTTAAAATAAAGGTAATGACATGTGGCAATACAGCTTCTATAATGTAACATCATGACTTGGTCTCTCTTGACTTGCAGACTCCCTGGAGAAGCATGTTACAGGGATTAAATCCCTTTGAATGTTAATGTGTTCCTCTTTTGAACCACAAAGAGTATTAATCCTACTCCCCTCATCTACCAACAGCTGCTCTGTTTTTTCCTACTTGACAGCGGAACCAGATAGCACGGCATGATTGACCTGAATGTAAATATTGCTGTTTGCAACAACTGATGGCTTTTTGCAGAAATTTAACAAACCAAGTCATCAGCTCACCTGCAGCACAAGTAATGTTCAGACACCTAGAAACCTCTTTCTAAAAATTGTAAAAACTAATTTATTACCTCATTAAAAAATGAAGACACTTTACATTGAGAGTGCCCAGTATAGGAAATCAAATTGAAATGTTTCCACTGAAAGAGCACACATGTATGTACACAAATACACATATAACTCTACAATTACAGAAAAGCAACTCGAAGCCAACAGTTCAGTTCAGCCATGACTCTACCATAAGAATCTAGTCATACATAAAAACTTTAAGAATTTATCTCAACCCTACATGAAACTCTCATTCAGCTACTTCATACAGTTTATGAAAGGAGACTGATTCCAACAAAAGCTAGATAACGTAAGACATAAATATGCAGGATGACCCTAAAATAGTACACTGAATTTCCATTATCAAAATAAATATTTTCACACATTTGAAGAGTCTTCAGTCAGATGAACTGCCAGAGTGTTTCTCATTCAGATTTAAACGTACAACCAACTGATAAACAAATACACAACCTGCTCTCTGTAATTCTTAAAGAGTCCCAAACTTCAAAGCTAGGATACAAATATTGTACTTAGTAGTCTGAATTTTCACATACATTTTTGATACCTCTGTTCTTGGAATTGTTTAGAAATATCAACACTTCAGAGGCAGGTTATAGATAAATTAGTAAGAAACTAGCACAGTTTATGTTCAGAGAACAGATTATGTTGATTAATGGAAGTTCCCAATCAATGAAAAAATTCTTAAAATACCATCTTTCTGACACTATATTAAAATTTTGAAGCCTTCGGCATGAATTATTATTTACACTTAATGCACACTGTGCTGATGCACTTTTCAAAAATCACATACTATCAAGAATATCTAACAATGTTATGCTTCATTTATTCATGTAGTTCAAAAGCAGTTCAATTTGTTAGACAGTGTACATACAGAAAAGAGCAAGATCTTCCATATACACTACAAATGTACTACTGACCAAGGAACTTAAAATTACACTTGCAGTGCATTTTCAGAATAAAGATGCTTAACAAGAACCTACTATTCCCATATTTATGATATGAACTATAAGAACAAAGAGTTACCAGTATTAGCATATTTTAATAAGAAAGCTATTTTAAGGAAGAATGACTGCATTTAGGATTCTATTTTAAAATGTATTTATGCATATGTATTTCTTTCAATTAATGTTGGATATTTCAGCAGAGATTAAACTTTTGAATAACTAGCATTTTCCAATGAGGCACCATTAACTTCCAGGAAAATAAGGGTAACAATCAGCTACGTGCACAGAAGCTCTTACCCCAGGTTTAAAACAAGGGGATTCAAGGTTGCTTCAGAGTGTGCAGTGGATTTATAATCTCTGCTAGAAAGCTGCATGAAAACAGTTATGGAGCATTTGCCATGTAGTAACTTAGTACCTGGACATCCAAGTACCCCCACACAAACCAAATTATTACGGAAATAGAGATGTGGTAAGAAAAGGGGTAAGAAAAGTGTAATCTGGGGAAAGAAGAGCATGTCAGACATGAAAGGTGTTTACTATAGGAATTCAAGTGTTTAAACATTCCTGGCTGGGGAGAAGAGATATTTTTCAGCTAATATGAAAAAATTTGAATCTGAAAATTTAGCTTCTAGTTCTACTACAATAAACTGTTTTAGTACTGAGACCATATTTAGTTCTTTATGGCTGACAAAGGTGAATTGCATCCTAAGACCTTGCTTTCCAGTAATTATAATATATCAAATAGAGAAGAATGTTGAACTTGAGAAACAGGGTTTATAAGATCAGATGGAAGGGCTTTGTCCAAAGACTCTGGAGCAAAGAAAAAATAAAGTAGACTTCATTCCAGCCCTTTGTGTCTGAAAATACTGGATCTGATCTCCATTAACACTAATTATACATTCTGTAGTCTGGTAAACTGGACTTAAAAGCTAACATAGATGAAGTAAGTACCAGCCTTACTGAATTTCACACAAGTCTGGCAATTCAAAAACTATGTTAAGACAAACAATTGTATAAAGTACTGTGCAGAAGTTATAAAATCATATTGTTTATTCAGCTATCTTTCATGTAAAAGCACAGATCAATTTCCAAGTACTTTCAATTCAAGGAAAGAGGGGGTGGAAAGGTGAGAAGAGAAAGAAAACTTCTTCACATAGATTAACACTGACCCATTCAATCAGTTAAGAAGTAGCTTGGAACAGCTCCCAAGGCTAAAGCAGCTCCCTTCCCAGTTTTCCTTGGCCATATGGAACATGAACACATTTCAGGATTTCAAGCAGTGCTTTGGCTTGGAACCTGATGTGTTATTCCACTTTTAGATTTAAAAAACCCTCAAAACTTGTTTGCTTATTTCAGATAGCAGTTGATTAAAATGTTTTGAGGATAACAAGATGTACCATAACTGGGAAGGTTGTGGGGGCCAGTCAGATAAGGGAAGGAGCGGGGGAAGAGTTTACTAAACAAAAAAGTGAAACAATAAAATGAAAGAAATTTCAGATCTCTTGAACCTTACCCTCCATGGGAGCCCTTCACCCCTTAATTTATACAGAGCTTTTATATAGCTGAATTATTTCATCACTTTATACATGTTGAATCAAAATATAGAAATATGCTTTTTCCAGATGAAATTTTAGTTGTTTGTTTGTACCAATGCTTCTTTTTATCACCTCTTACTCAAATTAATTTTTCTCTATTTCATCTTAGACTCATTTATCTCTTAGCCTTTAAATTTCAGTACTACTCAAGCACGTGAGAACCCTAAGGATATTACACAGTCTTCCAATGGACACCTGTACGTGATCCAGGTACATCTTATTACTCAAGATATGCTACTTTTCTTTTTTTCCAGCATTTGAGGCTAATGCCATCATATGAATTAATATGACAGAAATGTAACAGATGCTTTCATTAAACTTAAATGATTCAATCCTATGCTCTCTTTATTGAAGGTCTCTGGTTCAGTAACCCTTTGTGGTCTTTTCTGCCAAAGATCTGCATCGGGTATTCATTAAAATAAATATTAATAGTTCTAAATTAGTATGCATTGCAAGAAGTATTCTTTGAAAACCAGGAGAACTGCAGAATAATACAGGGGCACTGGAGGACTAAAACCCTAAGGTTAAAAAAAGAAATTAACTTGCTTTGTTCTTTACATATCAGAGTCGCTAAGAGGCTGTAATACAATTAAATAACATGCACTGTTGATAGGAGACACTGCTTTATCCTCAAGGGAATTTCTTTTGCAGTTGTCCTCCAAGTTTAATCTTACTGCTGCGGCATCTCTTACTCCTCTTACTAGCCCAGAACCAGGGTAAAGTTGAATAAGCTATCAATGGAAAGAATTAAAAAGTAGACCATAAACTGAAATAGTGCACTAATAAAAATTATGCTGAGTGTATAACCTGTTTTTCTACATTTTACAGTATTGTTAGATTTTTAAGTTACACCATCTATTTAGTGAAATAATGCTCAGTGAAATACCAGTTGCAAGCAGGAAGTCAGAGGCAATTTACAACTCATATAAGGTTTCCTTCCAGTCAGAAAAGAAAGCAACAGCAGAAGAGCTTAGGTTTGTACTGAGAAGACTAAGATTTTTAAGCCTTTCTAGTTCTGTAAGGGCTATAGAAGCTAAAAATATCCTTTCTTACCCCATCTGTTCTAAATTTCTTTTGTGCTACCAACTTATTTGCTTAGTTTTGATTCAGAGATTCAAACCATGTTTTTTCTCAGGTGTAAAATTGGAAAATACCTACTCAAGGAGAAGTTTTCAACCTACCTGATGAAGATCACTGCCCAAAACATATTCCTGGAAGTAACCTGGTGCAGCAGATGATGCTCTAATTGCTTGCCACAGCTTATACTGACAGCCTCCAATATAATGGGACTTCACACCAGGAAAGTGGTTGTAGTTTCTAAACACAAATGCTTTCAGTGGTGTTCCTCTGTTTACAATGGTACTTACTGCAGCTACCTAGTGAGTGAGGAGGAACAAAATTAGTTATATATGATGATAATAACCATAATATGAGAATGAAAGCTTCACACCATATGAAATTCAATTTATACATCAATGCACCTCTAGCATTTTACTAAGTTCATTATTTATTTACATTTTTATAATGTTTAAATTTTAAAAAGTGAAAGTAAAACACAAACAAGAGACCCAAATCCCTAAAGAAAATGCTATTTTTAACCTGCAATTAATTGTTTCCACTGGCTATTCTGTTTCTATGAATATGCATGATATTAAAACAAAATGCTGTGTCAACTATATGATTTTTAAATACTTTTCCTTTTGGAATAGTATTTAATTCTCAGAAGTCTGTAACCAGCAATACAACAATGCCATTAAATATGAATGTCAGAACTGTCAGTCAATTTCTTTCTCCAGGAAAATAATTGCTTAATATTGCAACTGGAGTTAAAGAATTGTAGTAAGAATCTCTGCTGCACAAGAGTCAAGCATAAGTCTTTCAAGGTTTTTTGGTAAGGATACTGAAATGTCAATAACAGAAATCACATATGTTTATCTAAGTGAAAAGTCAAAATGGTATTTCCATTGAAAAAGCCCCAACTAAGAATGTATCTTACAGATCTAACCACAAGCAGAAAGTATATGTAGTTATGGATGAGTGTTAGAATGTGCAAGGCCTTTAGAGGTGATGCAGCCAGCTTGGCTGACACTGTCGGAAACAATCCTCTTTAGCAGCCAAGTGGGTGTTCAATTCCATCTTGTTTACTGTTTTACAGAGTAGGGTGTTTTCATGAAATGTTACTCAATGGCACTATCATAAGCATATAGTGATATCACTATATGCTTTTTCACTCTTCAGCTACTTAATTTAAATAATTTTATTCACTGTAAATTCATCCTTACAGGAAACAAAAGTGTAACTTCCATGTTACAATGCAAAAGCAAAACTGCCTGATTCGAACTCCATCATTTGATGGCGGAAAAGTTTCCTGTTTTTCTCAAAAGGAGGGTTTAATTCTAAGCACTACCAGAAGCGGTAAGAAAAATAACTTCAGAAAATTTAATAGAAAACTTATTAAAAGGATACTTTCATTTTTGGCAATACCCATGTACAGCAGTCTAAGTCTAAGTTTCAGCACCTTCTGGAAAAACCCATCTTGCAATGAATTTAACAGCAGCAGAGCACAGAACTGCATGTTTTATTTTGATTTTGCTGTGCCTTGTAAAGAGTGCCACCACTGACAGCACTATAAAGTGATTACTGGGAACAGCTAGTTTCAACTCTATTTATATTCACATTTTATTACTGAAGAACATGGAAGGAAGCCAAAGATCCCGGTTCAAAGATAACTTTCAAGTCAACATAGGATAGCTTCTCTCTCAGAAAGCAACATACCACACCAGCCTTTTCATGTCCTTGTTTTAGACATGGACTAGGAACGCAGTCAGTAAGGCACATGTTTCTATGTTTAGAAAAATGTGAATATCTTCCATTTAACAGTAAAGCTTTGAATATAGTGCTATGACACCAAAACACCTGTTAATTACAGATTGTTCTGAAATATATCCTATTATATTTCTCTTCTTTCTTCACACCCTATCCTTCACCAAAAATAAAATACCCATGCTTTCTCATCTTTCACTCTTGTGCTGCTGCTGTATCTAACACCCCTCCTATGACTTGCTGCCTTTTCTATCATACAGGAAGAGAAGAGGTCCTGGGGCCCAAAAACATGACTGGAGAAAAACAGGTACTCCAAACAAAGTGAGAAAAACCCCTGTCCTCTTACAACACAGTAACACAGATCACAGCTGACATGACAGGATCTCCAGACACTGGAATTCTTACATGAAAAAACCAAGCATTGCACAACCCCAAAATGTTGACCCAGTATTTCTATGCTTACAGGGTTTTTTTTCAACATCTCTGCAATATATTCCAACAAGAAGTATAAAAATATGAGAAACTGCTGCCAAAAGTTAAGAATCTAATTAATTTTTATCCTTTAAAAGCACGGGTTATCACATATGGAAACCTAAAGAAACAATAGCACGGGTTATCACATATGGAAACCTAAAGAGCCCTTCAACATTCATTCTGTCTATCCAATATTCTTCTGTGTATAGAATTTACTCAGAACTCTTAGAAGTACTTGTGAAATATACAATTAGTATTTACCTTAAAAAACAGTACTTACCTTTGGACATTTGGACTTTCTTGCAGTTTCAATCATAAGATTTGAGCCCATTTTTTCTCTACAAGAAAGTATAAAAAATTGAAAATGCTCCATCAGTTTAGTATGAACAAGACATATATTTTTATCATCCTTATTTCTGAGACTTTTGCATTTAAAAGGAGCAATGTTTGTATTTCACTTTAACAATCAGATTTCTACAATTGACTTCAATGGATTGAATGGATATTTCAAACCTTCTAGACTGTTGGAAATAAGTCTGAAGAGTGAAAAGGTCTTAATTTAAGGTACTCAGTTCACATATTTAACCATAAGTCATTAGGATTACTCAATTACATAGTTAGGCAAAATACTTTGCTACATTTAGGAATCATTAAGTGCTTCTACAGTAAAGGAAAAGCATTCTTCTGTAGTACATTCTAGTAAGTAGTACAGGAACAAAAGCTACAGACAGAAAGATGGCATTCCATATCATTTAGAAGAAAGTTAAAACATCTTAAAATGTTAAAACGTAGTCTTCCATAACACTAATCCAATATGCATTTACCGTTCTTTTTTGAGGTAATATTTTTTCACATAAAAAATTTTTTTATAAATCACACTCATGGTCTGCATTGTAATTTCTCATCATATCAGGGTCAGTATTCCTGTTGCTAACTAGAAGACAGCCCTTCTGCACAGTAGAGGAGACTGGAGCAAATTACCATACTAGCCAGTAATCTCAGCTCATCATATACTTCAACTTTGATTTGCTTACAATAAAGGTATAGAACTCTTACAGAGTAGGTGGTCACCGATAATGATTCCAAATAGGCTTTTCTTTAAATCAGCAAGCTTTCTTCCTCCCCTAGAACACAGCCCACCCAAACACTGGTGGTGCATCTACCTCATTCTGCAATGACAGTTTTCCATACTGCCACACTTTTTAAGAAAAGATATTCCACGTGCTGTTGTTATGAGGTCATCCATCTACAGCTTGCACCCATGACAGGAGGGAGTAGCGCTTCCACTATTAAAATCACCACCATTATCAATCTACTCAGGTCAGAAGATAAAAGAAGCTTAAAAGGCTACCGCAGCAGCAGTCCTCCATGCAGACTGTACGTGCAATTAGGAAAATTTGCTGCTCTTCTAGTGGATATTTGTGCTTGAAGGATGGCTGCATACATGTCCCTGACAGGGAGGAAGGAAGGCAGGCAGGCTCCAGTCTTACGATGGAAAACTCCCGCTGACACAATTCTTGTACCAGTAGCACTGTTTTATTTTTGCATTGATTCTAGTCTCAGAATCACCAGACTGAAGGGGAAGAGTGACGTCTGCACTCACTAACTGATTACAGAAGGAGATGAAGGCACGCAGAACCATGAAGTAGGTATAAAAGAAATGAGACTGACAGAGGTGAGATATCAAAGACACCTGCTGATTTGCATCACTTTCATCTACTTCTGAAATGTCTGCATTAGGTATTTTTTCCCAAACCCCAAATGCAAAGATTAAAAAAAATTCATAAGCAATATCCTCTGCTTAATTATGGGAACCATCGAACTGAGTAACTATCTCATCACATCCTGTTTTTTATGGAGGCCAGAAACTGATACTCCAGACTAGTTAAACTACTGTGCAGCTTCAGACATTTACAGTCTAAGGAGAGAAGTTTAATATGACCTTCACATTTATTTTAGTTCTATTGCTAGCATTAATACTGTGATTGCGTATTAAATAAATGTATTTGTCTCACTGTTCAATTTTCTTTTACAAAGCCACAGCAGAAGTAATTCCACAGTTTATTCACATACTGTGTTAAAAAATAAAGTCTTCTAATTTTAGTTCTATTGAATAGTCCCCTGTTATCAAAGAAAAGAAGAAACTGGTAAGTCTTACTATCTCAAAGGACCACTTTAACTTTTTTGCTTTTGTTAATGATAAAGGCTCCTAATGTGTGTTGTCTTTAGGTCACTGGCTACTTTTTCCCCAATCTTGCAACAGAAATATTCTCTAAAATGGGGAAACCAGGACTGTAAATAATATTTTAAATTAAACTGTATTGTAAATTAATATAATGGCACTATAGTATTTTTTGTATTTTCAATCCCAGCTGTCACACACTGAATCATATTGTTTGAACACAAGCATACAGTTGTTTCATTAAACTGTGAAAACAGACCAAAATCACTTTTGATATTAAAGTTACTTTATATCCTGTAAGCATTTTACATTGTTGCACTCATTGGTTATTACTTTACACATAATTTCTTGTGCCATCCTATTTTTCCATGTATCTACTTTGTTTGTGTCTGTCTGTGACCTATGTCCTCTAGACATGACCTACTTAAATGAGTCTCTTTCACAAACATTGCTCTTTCATTGCTTCAAGTCACTAATATTGCAACACTTATTTCAATAATTCTATAAAGAACATATTGCCAACCATCTGCTGGAAGAAACATTCTAATGGGCTACAGCAGTGATGCAAATACTCTGGAGAAAGAGCACTCAATGGAAAAGGCAAAACTGTAACTTTCGTCCTCTTCTGACAACAACAGTAGTACCAGGAAACTATGACATCTTTGCCAAACAGGAGAGCCTTTTATGCCATGTGCTGCCCATCTAGTCACTAGAGAGCAGTGTCAATTTATATTTCACTCAGCAAAATAAATACTCAAGTGTTATTACTTGAGTAATAATTCTAATATTAAATAATAATTCTCAAACACATGCATTATCCATTTTCCTATGAAAAGAGAACATATAATTTTTATCCTATGCTCCATAGTGATTGATTGCTTCTCAAGACTATAAATTCCCAACATGAGGTTTCAGCTAGCTTGTGAAAACCCCTAGCTGCTCACCAAATTTCTCCAGTAGTTTCTTAAGACAGCATGCAAGAAGAAAATTGTATATGTCAACAACAGTCAAAAGGAAACAGAGAAGTGGGAACTATAAGCCAGGTTCTTACAAATGCAATTCAATGTAGCATTACATGCACTGATAAGCTGTAAGTAAAATCTTCCACATAATACAAATTATTAAAACCGGCCCTCAAATTGCAACTAAAGAAATACATAAAAGGAGTTAAAACAGACACACACAGAACACATGAAACCAATTCCCAATGAATAAACCAATGAAACCATACCAAAGAATAACATGTCAGTTAACCAAAAATGGTTGTCATTTTCTGAAATGCAATTTATAATATACCCCACGAACGCATGGAACATTAACCTGATGAAACATCAACTTAATTATTTTCAGCAAGAATACCTTCTGACAGAAAATACCAGCACTAATATTGTGGTAAGACTAAACATGTATTACGCGTCTGCACATTGTCAATGGATTGTTCCTATTTCAAGTAAGGCTGACAAATTACCATTTGAACTACAAAAATGCACACAGCACAGGTAATGCTTTTAAATTCAAAGCAAAATATAAAGCAGTTTCCCCATGCTATGACACTGTTAGACCTGACCTTCAATATCACTGTAAAGACACACTATATAACCTTACAATTCCCTTCTTGGCTCCAGGCCCCCACACCACAGGGAAGCCTCTAGGAATCCCTTCAACAAAATGCTGTTCAGGCATACCATCTCCCTTCAACATTGCAGGTCACCAAGAAGTCATTTGTTGTTCAGCACATTTAATTTTTAATTTACTCTATGGATAATATATTAATTACCTGTGCCTCTACTGCACAGGAGTAAAATTCTTTACCTCCTTCATGTGCTACATGAAGCTGCAGAAAAACAACAGTATTTCAATTAAAGGCATGTAAAATACTTTCACATGAGGATATTGTGACTTTCACAAGACTTCTTTTAATTGGAAAAGTAATGAGGGAAGACACAGAAAAATCTAATTTCTAAAAACAGACTTTCAGATACCTGAGAAGAAAAACTCATTATACTGATTTGATAAATTTATTTATTTCTAAAAATATGCAAGAGCACAGAGAAAAAGTGCTTAGAAGCTCCTCTCTCCATTTCATCAAATAAGTAAGATGCTTAGAATTCAGACAGCACTGGTATTCCCACTGTTATGTCATAAAAACTCTTTTAATCCCATAGAACAGAGTAATCACATTCTCACTGTAACTTATTACTTATCAGAAGGAACCTTTTACCATTTTACATTTTCTGTCAGAAAAGATTGTGTCAGGTCTTTCAGTGATGGGGTCAACTTATGCTGGTTGGGAAACTATGACATTAGTTTGCTCAAAATTATAAACAATTGAACTGTCAATACAAATACAGATGAATAAAACTAAGAAATAAAACCTGTAATATAATAATTCTTTCTAGTGGCTTTTCCTGAATAGCCATCAGTGCATATGAATACACTTCCCAGGCAACTCTGACACTGCAGATAATTTTTCACTGCAACCCTTACAGGTCATTTCCCTTTCAAAGAAAGTGGCAAAGGACAAAGCCCTCCAATATAGTAGCAAACATTAAAAAATCCCTACTATACTACATTATTTCATTTCTCACCAATCTCCTTTAAGAAAAAAGGGCACAGCAGGTGGCTAGTAAAATCTGTAGCAAATCTGTAATGAGTCAGATCAAGCAGAGCTGGCAAGCATACAGGAATATAATCAGAAATCAGTGCAGTAAAGCTTACTTTATTCCCCAGAAACACAAATCATTACATTAAAAGCTTTCAACATTTTGGTAAATATGAAAACAGCTATTTCAAAAGAATGAGAGTATAAATTAATCCTTTCTAGTTAAGAATCTGCACACCAGTGAAGCAATGACAAAAACAAACGCACCCAGACATTGCACTAACTATATTTCACCTGATCATCTTTTACTTACTTGAGCATTTTTTCCCATATATCACTGTCATAAAAGGCGTGGTTCCAGCCCATTTTGACTGTTCCAACAATGACATTCTGCTTAAAAACATCTGATCCTAACTTATGGTACAGCTCTTCACAATCATCCAGGGGGATATGGAACAACCCCAACATAAAAGCTAAGATAGCTCCTGGAAAAAGAAAATATTTTGCAATGTAAAATGTATCCTGGAGTAAGACTACAAAGATGAATTATGAGCATAGTTCATTGTTTAACAGAATATCTGTCTTGAAACAGCAAGATCAATTGATAATTATATCACTAAATTTCTGGTCAGAGATTACAAACCATGTTTTAAAAGAACATATACAAGGTAGAAAAAGTCTCTTTTCAAAAACAGAAATATGAGAAGTTGAAAAATTACATTATTTCACTTTGTAGATTACAACAAGCATAAGGCAGAAAGCAAATTAAATATACTACTTTACGTGGAAAGAGAAATGAGAAAAAGAAATCTTTGCTGTGGTATTAAAAATTTATTTGGAGCATTATTTGCTACCATGCAAATTCTTAAGTCAGTAGAGATGTATTCTAGGAAAATTCTGTAACAATAAAGGAGATTTCAGTAGTTTGGATTACATTTGGTTGCAACCACTTATAATTAGTTTCGTACATGCTGCCATCTAGTGTATGCCTACAAAAAATTATGACCTACCCTTGTAGGAACAAAATAACAGCATTCAAAAAGCACTGCTGCTAAATACCATTAAAAGGACTGTGGAAAAACACAATTAATGCATTACTATAATTCTTAGATATATTAAACCAAAAGGGATGCATATAACCTTTAAATCTAGTTGTGCCACACTGTGAGAACATGTAATTGAGCATTAGGAATAATTAGGACACATGATTTTTTCAGTCTGGAAATAAATGCCATAGACTTGAATATAACACATGTGCAGAAAAAATTACATGTAGGAAGCTACAGATGGCTTTAAAGGAAACATGACTTCCAAGCCCTTTTTCGTTCTTACAACGCCCACCACTGTGATAACAGCATTAGTGGATCTATGGTCCCAGCTTCCTAAAAAGGTAGCACACATGCTCAAGGCAACCTAAGCCTGCTTGACACAAAGTTTCATCAAGAGAAACTTTCTAAAATGCCAAACCACCAGATGCCTGTATTCGAGGCAGAGTTAACGCCTAGCACCAGAGAAACACCATTTCCCCACATCATGCAAATCGTCTGCTACATTTTCTTCCTCTAAACTCTGCAGCACCAGTTCTACAGTATCACACATTTGCTATTTTGGTGAGCAAATTCAAAGTATGCAGGACCTATTACAGCATCATTGCAATGATCTTTCTCTGTGACTGCCCACATTTACACCCTCTGACACCCAATGAAGAGAAGCACAGGGAAGCTAACTACAAAGACAGTGATGCTGAATACACAGGAAGGGCATTTCTAAACTTCAAAGGCAAAAGAGAAAAACAGTAATAAGAAATACAAAAACTGCAGCAGAAAAGAGAAGTGCAGTGCACAAGAGGCATTCTATCGTCTAATCCATCACTCTTGTAAAGCACAATTCATTCAGCTGCAAGACTATCAGCATATGTACTGTCAATACAAACAGAACTGCCAGCGGTGCTGGCAGACATGCATAACCTCACCCAGCCATGTTTTCTCATTTATTATTGCAAGCTGGAAAACTGCAGACAAAAGCCTAATTGTGTAAACTGTAAAAAAATTTAAAATAATATGCTAAGTACTTACTAGCAGTCATAAATCTCAACATTTCCAGAAGAATTAAAAACAAAGTTAGTTCTAGTGACAGTAGTGGGAGAAAATTAAGAACATGAGGCATCTCTATCCAAGGTAAAACACCTTTATTATTATTGAAGATGACACTGGAGAAGTATTTTGTAGGGAAACCATCTTCCAAAGAAACAACCACTTACTGTTAAACTAACCAATGCAGGGTTTATTTGGAAGACTATTAAAAATGTAAAGTAGGGAACTATATTGTGCCTACAAATTCTGTCTAAGAGACCTAAACACCTTCCTCCACTATTCTGAGTCTGTTAAGCAAATCTCTCGAAACATATATTATCTACTCATGGTGTTCTGAGTTTAATATAATTTCTGAATTAAACTGTATAGAATATAAGTATAGCAAAAAATTTCAAGAATGTGGGTTTCTAAAGGAAACTGCACTAGTAAACTACAGCATACCTCCTATGTTAGAAATTGTCATTGTGCTGTTACCTGGTCTAACAATTTCTGAAGGAGATTACTGTCTTTGAAGGAGAAACTTATGCTTCCTGCTTGCTAGGGAGAAGTAACTCATCATTTGAGTCACAGGAGTAATTATGTCTGGGAGGGACCTGTAGACATTATCTAGTCCAACCTCCTGTTCCAACAGGTATAATTAGAATAGGTTACTCAGGACTATGTTCAGCCAGTCTCCATGGATGGAGATTACAAAGCCTGTGCAGGCAACTTCTTCCAGTGTCTGACCATCCCTGCAAGAAAAACATGATCCCATACCTAATTATAACTTCCCATACTCCAGCTTATCTGTTGGCTTTTCTCCTATGACTGTTCAAATTCAAAATTTTTTTAGATCCATCTTTTCTTCATTTTCCCATTAGCTGAACCAGGATAAAGGCCTAGCCTTAGCCTTCTCTTCTCAATGCCAAATAAAACCAGTTTTTGTACACTCTACTTTACATGTCATGAACTCCAGTCCCCTGATCATCTACTTGGCTCTCCGCCAGATTCACCCATTGTGTACAAAAACATACCTGAAAGATTAAGGGCTTTTATAGGAGTCCATAACAAGGCATTTGCAGCCAAACAGAGACCCTTAAATTGTTGGGTACATTCTTGTCCATGCAAGCCAAAGGTCAGCTTTCTTTGCTCTAGAGTACAGTGATGATTCACGTCCAACTTGTTCCAATCAAGACCAGGTCCTTTTCTGCAAAGCTGGTTTCTAGGCCATCAGCCAACCTCAGATGGAGGGCTTTGTATTTGGCTTTACTGAACCTGCCAAGCCATTTCTCCAGCCTGACCAGACCAATAGGAACAGAGGGCACCACAGCACTGACCACTTCCTCTAATTTAGGTCATTCAAGATCTTGCTACAAGGCACATTCTGTCTTACTGGCAGGTAATTAAGAAAGATGAAATATTGCTGTTAACTTAATAAAGGAAACATGACTGACCAGTTTCAATTCCTGAGGGATATTACCTTAGTAGTCTGTAAAGCTCCATAAATACCAAAGATAATGGTTTCTGTGTGCAAATCGAAGATTTCATATAAATTGAAAAAACAACAAATCAGTATGAAGCCAAAAGTTTATCATGAACTACCCAAAGTTCTAATTCAGAAGAAAAGATTCTAGAAGTCACAACTGTACTTTCTGAGCTCACACATTAAGTCAGAAACTGCAAAATCTATACTTATTCTCAGATGTTCTTTTACTACATTGATAGTAAAACTCCAACTTGTGGCTTAATAATTACCTGTGCTTACACCACAGATGTAGTCAAAAAGTTGATGAACCGGCTTTCCAGTTAATTCTTCTAGTTTCCGTAGAGTCTGAAGTGCAACTAAACCCCTGAAACACAAAATTCCCCTTCATGTACAATGGCAGTCTTATCTTACATAGCTCTAATAATTTTTCAATCACCTTTGCTTCATTATAACTAATTAGATTTGAGTAACTGCAACAGTAAAAATCCTGAATATTTCAGGAAATAAAAGAGCAGCAGAACTCAACAAGCAACAGTTAAAATAGAATGATGAATACTAAGTATGAATGACATACTCAGGCATACCAAAAACAGTATTCAACAGCTAGAGCCATATTGCTTTACAGCAAAGTCTTGGGTGGTCAGTTTCTGTGGATGTAGATTAAGGATAGATTCTGGCTGCATCCCCACTACATAGCACTTAAATTTTGTTCTTAACAAGGCTACATAATGTCCCCTGGGGCATAGTATTTTCCAGTGTGGGGTTTGCTTGGCTTCCATTCAGGGTATCTGAAATAATGGGAGAGATGCATTAGAGACCATCAGATTTGTGCTCCTCTAGCATGAAACAGTATCTGGCATGCAGCCATGTGAACTCTGTTGGGACAGAGTGAGACAACTGTGCATGGCAAAACACACCAAAACAAACACCATTCAAGCAGAAATGCGTAAGAAAACAATACTCGTCCCTCAGACAGTCAAACGTAACAGAAATGTAACTCATTAATCACCACTTTGAACATTTACCTATCAAAGAGAGACTGAAATTTTACTTCTAGTTGCAGTATGAAAAAGGTTACAAGTATGTAAAACCCCAGAAATTTTACCTTGTTCCTCCTCCATCAATGCTGAGGATTCGAATTCCCCAGCCTTCCACAGGGTCTGTATATCCAATCAGAGCTAAAGTTTCTCTAACAGCAGCCTGAAGACTTTCATCATTAGCCTGTCTCAGTCGCAGCAGGCAAGGGATTAATTTTTCCTGTTGATAAATATAAGGATATTTCATTCTAACTGTATGTTTAAACCAAAAGAATCCCTTCTTAAATTTACTAGTTTGGCATTAAAGCATAAAAGTAATATACTAGTTAAACTTGGAAGAAAGCCTATTCAAATCTGTATTTACCCATGTCTTTCTCTAACAAGTGAAAGAAAGAATGCCAATATTATGCTTTACACACCTCATTGCTATAGTAAATACCTATCAGAATTAAACAATCAAGATGACATGTATATATTTTGGATATTATTTGCATCTATACTGAATATTATGAATATATTTTGGATATATAGCTATATATGTAGCTAGGAAAATAGCTAGGAATATGTAGCTAGGAAAGCTACATTTACCAGTTTAGTTTTATTGACTTAGTATCACATCAGCCAAGTGTAGACTCAAGTATGAAGCACACCAAGTACAGGTAAAACCCCAGAACTGCGTAATGCCTTCTAAGTTCACTAATATCAAAACAAAATTTAAAATACTTTCTCACACAGAGTACTTTTTAAATATACATTACCCCAAAGATATACAGCATTACAATCAAAATGGTAGTAGTGAATACATTCTTCCATAATAAAGTAATTCACGAATGTTTATGTGAATGCCTGACCTGTACCCTGCCCAGATGATTCATCGGGCTTGCACTCCATTCCCAAAGGCTACTTTCCCAGAAATTCCACAATCTCTGTCACAGGTTTGTCACATCTCATAGAAAAAGGCACTAGGTTGACAAGTGCTGTGATTTACCTAGTACTTCTAGAATAGTCTATCACCTACCTCCTGCCCTCTTCAATGCAGGGAAGGAAGCAAGTAGGACTAGATTACATGAACTTATTTAATGGTTCTCTTGCCATCTCTTTTCGAAGAAAGCATGTAAACAAGCATAGAAAGTACTGTGCATGTACAGATCAGCTGTACAGCACATTCCCATCTGGTCAACTGCCACGGAGGACACAGTGTACGACCTTTATCTACCACGGGAAAAAGCTATACTACCTATCCACATGACCATGCCGTATGCTTCTAAATTAAACACTGCAATCTTAAGAGCCTTTAGCTAAACTCCCAGTAGTTTGCATATGAACCTGCTTGAACCAGCTAAAAAGCTAACACTCAATTTGTAATCTTTGCAAATAGGAAACATGACTCGTCCACAAAAGCAAAGAAGGAGGTTTTATGTTATTCTATATCAATCATTCGTCAGATTGTTTTTTATCTAAGCATAAAAACTCTTTGCACCTTAATTGCAACTCCTCTGCTCTCTGGAAATTCTAGAAGATGATAGGTGAGTTCTTCAACCCTGTTGATGCAGACTCTTTGATTAGAGGATCTCCGTATTGCTTGAACTAAAGCTCGAGTCCTGTTATCAATACTCACTCTTGCAATGATCTAAAGAAGACAAACAGACAACATAGAACTGCTCTTAAGAAATGTGTAAAATTTGTCAAGACTAATTTCAACATGTTACTTTAAGATTTCTCAGAAGCAATGAACAGCATGCTGTACTACAGATCTACAGGTTCCAAGCAAGTACTGCTTAAAACATCAACAAAAACGTTTTGAATCTTTATTTAGTAGAAAACTGAATAAAGTTTACAGAAATACACCAAACAAACACATCAGTATCCATTCAGATGGATTTTCAGGGCAATTCTCTGGTATTAAAACCACTGACAAACCATGAACTGTAAAATTACTGTAACTACAAAAAAATAGCACAACTAGATCTGTCTGTAATTATGGACTCTATGCATATATGAACTAAATATATGTACCTACAACACATACACACAGAGGTGTGTGTATACATACATACATATACGCTATATATAAACATATAAACACATCTATACTTGTATAAAACATTTAATACTTATACACAGATGTAGCTAGACCTACTTTTAAGCACATAAATATATTTCTAAGTTTACATGTAGTATGCATAAATATTTATTAAAAAATCTATTTAATTTAACATATGCACTTATTCATCAAAGTGCACAGAATGAATCAGAGAACACTGGGTTGAAAGAGGCCTTAAAGATCATCTAGTTCCAATCTCCCTCCTGTGGGCAGGAAAATCACACATATACTTATATGGAAGTAGAAATACTTATAAATATGTAGAAGTATGTGTACATATGCATGTAAGTATATGAACAGGTATATAGTTACCTATGTAAGTGTGTGTCTATCTATGCTTAAATATGCTTAAATATAGGTATATACACTAGTGTAGCATATATACACACTTGTATAAAATATACATAGAAATAATACATAAATTAACACTAAACAAAGACTTGCCTTTTCTCTCTGAAGAGACAGATGCTTTTCCTTCTCTTCTGCAGTCTTGGCCTCTTTTGTTTTGTCCTCATCACTCTTCTCAGACACTTCTTGTTCTTTCTGTTTACTCTTTTCTGGTGGAACAACTTTTGTATCAGATCTTAACTTTGGAACCAACCCACCAATATAGCTGTCTACAAAAGCTTGCACACTGTTACTGGGATATGAAAGAAAGTTTGCAATACTTTTTTTAGTGGAAACCGGGAGGGCAGTATTTGTCTTTTCAGTACCCAAGGTCTCTGCTTCAGGAGCCGAAGTACCTGCTGAATCCACTCTCTTTTCTTCACTTGTTACAGTATTTGCTGATGAATCAAGCTTATTCCTCTCTTCACTTTCAGAGTCCTGTAATAAAGCATTCTTTTTTCTTCCTTGTTCCATAAGAGAATTATTAAAGTAAGAGTTGATATGATCAGCTACGAAGTTGTAAGTCTCTCCAAAATTTGTAGAAAAGTAGCTTACATGAAAAAGGTGGTTTTTACTAGATGCTGAAACTTCTGGAGTTTCTTGCGAAGTGCTGCTTGAACCTGCTAACAGAGATTCCAAATTTTCACTTGCACAAGTGGATTTCCTTGCAGCTGGGCCTCTGTTGCAATCATCCTGACTTCTGACATCTGTAACTTGTTTATCATTTTCTAGATTTGTGCTGATGTTATTTGCATCTGCACTACTTTTATTTGTTTTACCCGAAGTACCTGAGTGGGACTTTAATCGAGCTATCCGTGACACCAGTTCACTGTGAGTGCCAGAAACTGCCTTTGAAACAGATTCTATAGTATTCTTAATTCGTGACATGCGAATGCTCACCCTTGTAAGTCCCTTAGAAGAAGAAGTTAAAAGTTTGGAAACTCTGTAGTATAAAAACTCATGGCTATAAATGTACTTGTTATACCAAAACGTTCTGCTCCTGGCCCACTTACACCAAGGCTCACTTGTATGAAAAACTCTCAGGTGTGCAGCATGATTTATCCTCCAGCAGTCTTTAGGTCTACAGAAACACAGGTATTTGTTTCTCTGCTTCCACCACAGACTTTTTGGGTTAATCAAAAAGACTAGGTATGTGTCCAAGGATAAATGAACTGTCATTACTTATAAATAATTGCACCTTTTCTATGTTGCTTTCTACTTCATTCCAAAAAATATGCGTCAATAAATAAGTCCCGTAATGTACTGTTGTCTGAAAAAGAAAAAACAAAACAAAAACCAACAATGGAAACCCCAAACCAGAAAAAAACTAAAATCACAGAATTGTTCAAAACAGATGAAGCTTATGTATCCTTTTGGTAAAGACAGATAAACATTCCGATCAAATCAAATCAATTCAAATCATCTCATGGGAATATCTACAGCTCAAGACATTTGGTAGCTCACCCCAACATTTCAACACACCATTCCCTAAAGGCCAGTTTCAGCTCATCTTGAGCAACATGTGACACTTCTCAGAAGCACACAGTGACATATAGAAAATTGATTGCTGTTTCTTCAGCAAATTATCTGGTGCAGATGCAACGTTTCAAATGTCATTATATTACTACCATCCCTTAACAGAATTCCTCGCAGGAGGGAGGGGAGAAGTGACACCAACACTTTGAGCCCAAAATATGCCCATCCTATGAGCCAAAGGCAGGATATAATCCTTACTCTGCAAAGAAAGGTGCAACTGGTGGAGAAGCGTTTTACACAGCACACCAGAGTTGCGCTGATACCGCAGGCGCAAACCCATTATTTGCCGAAAAAGCAAGCCCAGGCTTCTCCAGTGCATGTGACAAATGCCGAGAAGGGCTGCCAGGCAGGCACGCAGGCCGACTCCTGCGCAGGCCGACTCCACAGTGACAGCAGAGGTGACACCACCGCCGGCAGCGCGATCCATACTTACAGTCTCCTCTGCCTACGCTGCGCCTGTCCCGCCGGGTGACCGCCGCGCAGCCGGGCTGCAGGTCCCACGGCCGGGCCAGCCTATATAGGCACGGGGGCGGCTGCTGTCCCGGGGGCAGGCGCGGGCGCTGTTCCTGCCTTGCGCCATTTCCCAGAAACGCTGCCTAGAGCGGCGGCGTAAACAAGCACCGAGTCCGGGCCCCGCTGTCCCCGGGCCCCGCTGTCCCCGGGACACCCTCCGTTATGCGAGCGAGCCCCGCGTGCCCGGCACGCGCTCATCGTGTTCCCCCCGTCCTCAGATTGCCCCACGACCGGGCAGAAATGCGGCCCGACCCGGTGGCGACGCGGCCCGTCCTGGCGGCGGTACCTGCTGGACAGTCGCTCCCGCCTCCCCCCTCTCCCCAGGCCGCCGCCGAGCGCCAGGCAGGGGCCGCGCCCTCACGAGCGGTGCCGCCCCGGCGGAGCGGGCGGGAGGCGGCGGGGCCCGGCACGACAACACCCGCGGCGCGCGGCCGCGGCACTGCGCCTGCGCGCGCTCCGCGCGCCGGAAACAGCTGGAGCGCGCGCCAGCGCCCCACGAGCCGCCGCCGGGGCGGGGGGGGGGGGGGGGGCTGGCGGGGGGGGGGGGGACGGGAGCCGCTCGCGGTTCGGGCGCGGGCAGCGCGAGGCCCGGGGCGGGACGGGACGGGACTGCTGCGCGTGCGCGAGCGCCGGGGCGGGTGGCGACGTGCTGCGCGGCACGCGGGAGGGCGGGGCGGCGGCTCCTCCGCCCGCTGAGCGCCCACGGAGCCGCCGAGGGCGGACGGGTTGGAACAAGAAGGATTATCCGTTCCTGACTTCCCGCCCACCAGACCAGGCTGCTCAAAGCCCCACCCAATCTGGCTTTGAGCGCTGCCAGGGTCAGGGCATCCACATCCCTGGACAATCTGTTCTGGTGCTTTACCACCCTCACAGGAAAGAATTTTTTCCTAATATCCAACCTAAATTTCCCGTCTCTCAATTTGTGCCCGTTACTCACTGTCCTGTCACTATAGTTTCTGTCCTCTCCGGCTTCTATGTCGGTCCCTTTCAGGTACTGGAAGGTGCTTTGAGGTCCCCACACAACCTCCATGCTGAGCAGCCCGTGTTTTCTCAGCCTTTGTAGGGGAGGTGCTCCGGTTCCTTTACCAGCTTCATGGTAAAGCATGCTGGCCTTGCTCCAAGGGGCCATGTCCTTACGTGGAGGGCCCCAGAGCTGGATGCAGCGCTCCAGGTGGGTCTCACCAGAGCAGAGCAGAGGGGCAGAATTCCCTCCCTTCGTGCTGCTGCCCGTGCTGCTTTTGGCACAGCCCAGGGCACGTCTGGCTTCCAGGTCAGACGCAGCACAGCAGGTTGTGCCCCACGCTGTTGGCAGCACTGGGCTCTTGATGCCTCACCCTGGGGAGTCACTGGGAGCAAGGGGCTGGGAAGAGAAGGACCGCTACCCAACATCTGTAGCTCCTTAGTGCAGGTGCCTCGGGAATATGCTTTCCCCCCATCTCCTGCTTAATGGGAACAATGACAGTCATGTTTTTCATGGGTTTGACAGGGTTAGGGGGCACCTTGGTCTTCCCCAGCCAGGCTTCAGAGCAGCAGCAGGCCCTGAGATTCCTGACTGCATGGCCTGCCTGAAATGTAGTCTTAATAAAGTTGCCAGAACTTCAAGTGACAGTGGCAAGAGAGGATGGACGTGCTATGTGATCAGGTGGAACAATGGAGACCTTACCTAAGGGTTTAGAAAGTTGCATCACACTCATAGTTTCAGATCCCAGTTGTCTGCTTCTGTTCTTCCTCACAAATAAAGAAGTAAAATTAATTTTCTTACCTTGCATTTTATTCACCAGAGAAAAAATTATACTCCTTACATATTGTAATTTTTATCATGTATTTTTTATAAGTTGAACTGGTTAAATTCTCCACATCTCCCAGAGGAGGACATCCCTTTCTGGATACCAGGTGCCCAGCAAAGTCACTTTGTCACTCCCTTCCTCAACTGGTCAGAGGAGAGAAAATAGAACAAAGGGTTTGTGAATTGAGATAAAGACAGAGAGAGATCTCTCACCATTTACCATCAAGAGCAGAACAGACTCAGCATGGGGAAATTTGTTGAATTTATTACCAATCAAATCAGAGTAGTGTAATGAGAAATAAAATCAAGTCTTAAAACTTTCCTCCCACCCCTTACGTCTTTCCAGGCTCAACTTCACTCCCAGATTCTCTCCCTGATTCCCATACAGCAGAGCAGGGGGATGAGCAATGGCACCTACAGTCACTTCAACATATACTGTCTCTGCCACCCCTTCTTCCTCAGTGGGAGGACTTCTCATCCCTTCCCCTGCTCCAGTGTGGAGTACCTCCCACAGGAAGCAGTCTTCAACAAGTTTCTCCAGTGTTAGCCCTTCCCATGAGCTTCAATTTTCACAAACTGCTCCAGTGAGGGTCTCCTGCAGGGGCACAGGTCCTGATAGCAAACCTGCTCCTGCATGGACTCCTCTCTCCATGGGGCCACAGATCCTGCCAAGAGCCTGCCCCTGTGCAAGCTTCCCGTGGGGTCACAGCCTCCTTCAGGCACCTGCCTGCTCTGGCATGGAATCTGCCAGGACCTGCAGGAGAATCTCTGCTCTGACACCTGAAGCCCCTCCTCCCCCTCCTTCTTCACTGACCTCAATGCCTCTAAAGTTGTTCCTCTCACATATTCTCACCCCACTCTCCCAGCTGCTGTTGTACAGAAACTTTTATCCTTGCTTAATATATTATCACAGGGGTACTACCACCGTTGCCAATGGGCTTAGCTTTGGCCAGTGACTGGTTCGTCTTGGAGCCTGCTTCCAGCATAGGGGCGGCTTCTGATGTTTTTTTTGCAGGAGCTACCCCTGTAGGCCCACTCCCCACTCTTCCCCACCAAAACCATGCCACTTTAACCCGATGCAATGACAATTTTACACTCAAGACACAACACTTCCTTGGTGAAGTACTCAGTGGCCACAAACAACTCACGAGCCACATATTTTTAGGATTCTTTTGCACAGTACAGTGGCAGTTCATACCTAGATGTTCATCTGTTCCTTACAAAATGTTTCCAGAGTTGCTGCTTTCTGTCCTGTTCGGCAGGTAAGGTCTGCCTGCCTTGTGTGTAGAGTACTACACATCCAGTTGTATTATCCAGTGGTGGTATACTCATATTTTTTTATTTATATAGATTTATATATTATATAATATTATATATTAATATATAAATTTATAAACTAGTCTTAAATTTATCAAAGTATTTCATTTTACATGCTTAAGCTCATTTTAAAACCAAATATTTCAAACAGTAGTGGGGTCTGCCCAAAATGCCAGATGCAGCTAAGCAGGGAGGTTTCACTACTTCTTGATGTATGAGTTACTTCATGCAAAAGCTTGAATACTGTTATAAGAACAACACAGTACAGATAGTTTTAGAATGTATAGCAGTGTTAGCTTAAGCAGCTTCTCTGGGTGTGTTTGTTCTTCTGTAAGCCTCAGGGCTCTAGTGTGTTTCTTAGTGTGCTGAACTGAGTTGGATCTCATCAGATGACTTAAGAAGCAGTGGCCCATCTGAAGCCACAGTCTGAGCTGGCATCAAGCAGGGTAGCTTGCTTTCTTACAACAACAAAAGCTAAGACAGCAAGACCCACAAGTTCAGTAAGAAGGAAGTTTGCACATGATAAGCCACGGCACATCCTGCCTCTCTTTGACTGGCAAATAAGGTGCTGGAAGTAGGAGGCAACTGATCCCTTTTAGCTGCACAAGATTCCTTCCTAAACAGTCACACTTTATCCCATAATCTCACTGTAAAATTCTCTCCTGTGCCTGCTCAGACATTCGTCTCACCACTGGAATATGTACAATGCTGTGTTTATTCATATTATTTGTTCTTTGCTAAGGAAAAGATTTGAGGATTTCACATTTCTGGTCTAATCAGAGACCCATGTGTTCTTGCCACATTGCTCTCCACAAGGATGAGCAGACCTGTCTGATCTGACATGTTCAGAGGTGCATGATTCAGCAGCTTCTCAAAACAACCACGAAACAATACAAAAGAACTGAAAAACACTGGACAGGAAAATACGTATTCCCAGGCACAAATTCTGTACCTTCTCAAACATTTTGCCAGTTTAGTTTTCTCTTTACTGTACTAATGACATTAAGAAGAAATTGTCTCAAATTTATTTAAACATAGACTAATTTTATAAGCTCTCTTAGTAGTTAGATGAGTTCATTCTGTTTGACTAAATACTACCTTTTAGATAAGAGAGATGAATCCACATATGGTATTCAGACAGTAGCCAACTCTGTTTGTAGTTGTTTTCACATAATATAGTTATCATCTCATTTAAATAATTTTGAGATATATTTAAAATTTAATAGCATGTATATTAACTACTTGAAAAATACTTCCATTTCAGTACTTTTCATGGGAAGTATCAAGAGAGAAATCTGTTATTATTGATTTTTTTTGTTGATCTTTATTAGGTTGCATACACAGCACTCAAGCTCTTTCAGAGTGGTCCTTTGAAACACAATTGTTTTCTCTTTAGGACAACACTGAGAGTAGTTTGATTTTAATGCATCCTATCTCTGTTACTGAATTCAAAAAATCAAAGGCTTTCAAAGCCTTTTCTCATTATACCTGTTAACACATGTTTTTGTAGGTAGGATGAAAACTTGTAAATCAAGTTACACATAAATTGTGGTGAATATTTGTGTTTTAAAGAAACAGCATTCTTTGGTGTACGTGATTTTTGTCACATCATAGCCAAAGAATTGTACTGTCAATAGTTCAGGTGAGTTAACTGTATTCATTTGTATGAATGCATACTTTTCAATGCCATTAATTATTTCTAACATTTATATTTGTATATTTGTCTTGGACTGTTGCTTGGAGAGAAAGTCATAATGGGTTATGAGTCAG